TGCCTGTGACGCCTGTAACTCCATACAAGTGCCAGTTTGAGCCCAAGCTGCTCCACTTCAGGCCAAGTTCCCTATTAACGTAATGTACCTAGGAAAGCAGTGGAGGAGGGCCCAAGTGCCTGCACCGCTCCCAGCCATCCACATGGAAGACCTGGAAGAAGCTCCTGGCTTCAGCCTAGTCCAGTCCCACCTGTTGCAGCCATCTGGGGAGTAAACCAATGGAAGGAAGACCTCTCTCTCACTCTTCCCTCCCCCCTTCCCTCTCTCTTCTGCTGTCTCTTGCTCTCTGTATGTACCTTCCAAATAAACAAAGAAATCCAAAAAAGCAAAAAAAAAAAAAAAAAAAAAAAAAAAAAAAGAATGATAGAATAGTAACATGGGTAAGAACATAGTAAATCTAATAATATAAAATACCAATGGCAACATCTGAGTAATGGGCATAGACGTATTCACTACAAAATTCATCACAATAAAATTCTGGGGAGGAAAGGCGCCATCAGTTAGTTCGCCTGGGTACTTCTGGCCTAACACTCATTACACACACCCATCAATATGTTACTGATGACTTTGGCAGTCATTGGCAGCCTTGGCCTACATCTATTTCTTCATTAGGGATCTACTGTGATTCTCCTAGAAGCAAAAATCTTCCTTCACCAACTGGTTGGTTGCACTGAAATAAAGCTGCCATGATGGGGCAGACATTGTGACACAGCAGCTTCAGTTGGCACATGGGATGCCCACATCCCACAGCAGGCTGCTGGCTCCAGTGTAGGCTACTCTGCTTCTGATCCAGCTCCCCGCTAACGTGCCTGGGAAGTAGCAGATGATGGCTCAGTACCTGAGTCCCTGTTAACCCATAAGCAGAAGACCAGGATGCAGTTCCTGGCTCCTGGCTTCAGCCTGGTGCAGTGTTTGCTGTTTTAGCCATTCAGAGAGTGGACTAATGGCATCTCCTTCTCTTTCTCTCATTCCACCCTTCATTAAATAAATAAATCTTTAAAGAAAATGAAAAGAAAGGCAGGACAAATACTTTACTATCATATCCCTTTATCAATTTACAAAATAATGAGTTTTGTCATAGTTATCTTTTTTAAAGACTTACTTATTTTTATTGGAAAGCCAGATTCACAGAGAGAAAGCTCTCCCATCTGCTGCTTCACTCCCCAGATGACCACAACAGCCAGAGCTAAGACAATCCGAGTCAGGATCTTCTTTCAGGTCTCCCACCCAGGTGCAGGGTTCCTCTGCTGCCTTCCCCTACTTGCTCTACTGCCTTCCCAGGCCACAAGTAGGGAGCTGGAAAGGAAGTGGAGCCAAGACACGAACTGGCACCCACTTGGGATCCCAAAGCTTGTAAGGGGAAAATTAGTCAATTGAGCCATCATGCCAGGCCCTGCCTAGCAACCCTTAAGGACGTCCTGCTAGGATTTTTTATATCTTGGATGTTTCAATACATCACAGGAATTATTCTTTCTGATGCTTTAATTGTTCTATCTGTGGTGGATGGGAGTCCCTTCAGTAGGCTCCTGGTGCCACTGCCATGGCCCAGACACCTCCAACAGCTTCCTGGCGTCTAGCCATGGCCAGCAGGAGGTCTGAGAAACACGATTCCTAACCAAGACCCTACAGCAACCTGTGTCCGAGAGAGCTCTGTGCTCTTCCTGCAGAAAACATGACCGGAAGCTGCACTAGTGCACATTCCTGCCACGGAGCTGCCACCGCTTCTTGGCAATGGACAGTGGGCTGAAGTAGGAAGGTATTTAAAAACAAATCATGGATTCACAGGAACATTTTCAGCTGAAATTTTGTTTTTATTCAAGCTGCTGGATTTTATAGCTTTCTTCCGTATGCTATAAATCTTGATGCTCAGGCCTGGCACGATAGCCTAATGTAATCGCCTTGTACACGTTGGGATCCCATATGGTACCTGTTGGTGTCCCTGAGGTCCTGCTTCACATCCCAACCAGCTCCCTGCCTGTTGGTGTCCCTGAAGTCCTGCTTCATATCCCATCCAGCTCCCTGCTTGTGGCCTGGGAAAGCAGTCAAGGACAGCCCAAAGCCTTGGGACCCTACACCCGTGTAGGAGATCCCGGAAGAAGATCCTTGTTCCTGGCTTCTGATTGGCTCAGTTCTGGCTGTTGTAGCCGCTTGGGGAGTGAATCATCGGATGGAAGATCTTCCTCTCTGTTTCTCCTCCTCTTTATATATCTGACTTTCCAATAAAATAAATAAATCTTTTTAAAAATCTTGATGCTCAATAAGATTAACAAAATTATAAGTCACTTATTTTCTTTGTGTGTGTGTGTATGCATTTCAAACCAACATACAGACGTGATCACTACCAGTAAAATTACCAAATGCAATTTCATATCTCCTTGAGGCTCTTTTTGTCCTGATAGGCTTTAATCTCAGCTGAAGGATGGCTTAATGGGACTGCTCATTTCTGTACCAGCCCAAGCCATTGTTCCTTGATTACGAGCAAAGGCACCTAACCGCAGAAGCACAAGACCATTCCCCCTCCCAATCAGCGTCCTCACACAACGCAAGGTCCGGATGAAACAGCATAGAGGGAGCAGGCGTGAACAGAGGAGCAGCACAGCTCCGGAGGGACAAGATCAGTGAACTGGAGGAGACACTGCAAAGATTACAAACGCGGTTTTCTGACAGACATGGCAAGTCAGTGCTGACAGGCAGCTGCACGTGCCCTCAGCAGGAGTGACAGCGAAAACGCTGCTTAGCAACGCCAAAGGCAGGCGACAAGGACGAAGGCACCGCGAGGGGCTCAGCTCTAAGCGCCACAATTGAGGCATCTTACACGGACATTTCACCAGCCACGCGGCAACTACCAGCTAATGTGGCAGAATGGGTCAGCTACACTGCCCTGGCTTTCTTATTTCTGTTTCCTATGTTGTTCTTACATTTTATCTATTTTGATTTTTTTCTTAAAGAGTGATAGAAATAGAAAGGAGAGATCTTCCACTGTTAATTCATTCCCCAAATGTTCAAAAGATTCAGAACTGGGTCAGGCCAAAGCCAGGATATGGGTGACAGGGACCAATTACTAAAGCCACAGCTGCTTCCTCCAGGGCCTGCATTTGCAGAACCCAGGCTAAAAGCGCTGTAGTGATTGAACCACAATATGAGACTTAGGCATCTTAATCTCTGACGCAAACACCCACCTGTTTCCTACCTTTTTTTTTTTTTTAAGATTTATTTATTTATTTATTTTGGAAAGTGAGATACAGAGAGAGGAGGAGAGAGAGGAAGAACTTCTGTCTGACGGATCACTCCCCAAGTGAGCGCAATGGCCGGAACCGAGCCTCCTCCAGGTCTCCCACGCGGGTGCAGGGTCCCAAGGCTTTGGGCTGTCCTCGACTGCCTTCCCAGGCCACAAGCAGGGAGCTGGACAGGAAGCAGGGCCGCCGGGATTAGAACCAGCGCCCATATGGGATCCCGGTGCATGCAAGGCAAGGACCCTAACCACTACACTATAGCACCGGGTTCTCCTACTTTTTAAAAAGGTCATAAGAACAATGCCTGCATCAGTAACCATCAGGCTCTGACTGCCACAGCTACGCCATTATTTTTTAAAAGACTTATTTATTTTTATTAGAAAGTCAGACATATAGAGAGAAGGAGAGACAGAAAGAAAGATCTTCCATCCGTTGATCCACTCCCCAAGCGGCTGCAATGGCCGGAGCTATGCTGATCCCAAGCCAGGAGCCTGGAGCGTCTTCCAGGTCTCCTACCCTGGTGCAGGGTCCCAAGACTTTTGGCCATCCTCCACTGTTTTCTCAGGCCACAAACATGGAGCTGGATGGCAAGTGGGGTCGCCAGGATTAGAACCAGCGTCTATATGGGATCCCAGCACACACAAGTCAAAGATGTTAACCACTAGGCTACAGCACCAGGCCCCACAGTTACACTGTTCTGAAAGTGTTTTTAAAAAATAGCTTTACACTTTACAGGATGTTGTGGAGACTGGCTCTGGTCAAGGACCTACAAAGTTCAAGGCAATTATGCTTATATGTGTCCAAATTGAGTTTTTGTGGTCTTTTTAATCATTCTCAACCTGTGAAATACCTTAGAATCACTGAAGGAGCCTTTAAAAAAAAAGACAGAAAAAGGTATCATGACACAGCAAGTTAAGCTCCAAAATGTCTGTCCCGTAGCAGGGGCCCAAATCCTCTGCTTCCAATCGAGCCTCCTTCCACCATGTCCATTAGCAGGCAGAGGATCCCGCAAGTCCTGGCACCCGGGCAGGGAATTCCTGGCTCTGAGCTTGGCCTAACCCAGCCCAGGTTGTGACAGGTGTATGGAGAGTGAACCAGCAGATAAAGATGGATTTCTTGTTGTTCCTCTGTCTCCATGATGCTGCTTCTCAAGTTGACAGACAGGATATGATCGCCAGGGCTGACTCTGCTCCGGCTGGCCAGGCGGGTGCCCCTCCCTCACAGTTCCCCGTGCGTGTCCCTCCCAAAGCTGCGCATCCGCTCACAGAGGATGGCCCTTCCTGCCAGAGGAGGACTGGTCTTTGGTCAACGGACTCCGAGTAGCTGTGCTCCCCTGCTAGAACTTCCAAACAAGCTCTCAAGTTAGTGTACAAATAAACACTGAGAATTACACTGATAAAGGCACCCAGGCTGTGACACAGACAGGAGCTCTGAGAGTGGGCTGGGGACTCATATTTTGGAACAGATCCCTGACACTTCCATCTAATTTCAAAAGTTGAAAACCATAAAACTCAAAACAGTTCTCCAATCACCTCAGCAGCACGTCCAGCCTGTTTCTCAAGGACCCAGCAGTTTCACATTCAGTGGTTGGAGTATGGGCTGGGGAACTCGCATGTATAATCGACATTCTACCAACACCGAGGCAAGTGTTGTCAAGCGCACTCAGAGTTAACACCTCTAATCACTGTTCTGGAGAGAACGTAAAGAAACCAATGCAGGCAAACCCTCCCTGAGCCAGACCGTTCCCTGAATGGCACGGCCCCCGACCTGAGTGATGTTGGTGAATATCTGCTCCGACATCCTCTCGCACAGAACTGCCACCAGCTGCAGGACCAGCAGCTTCCGCTCCTGCCCTTCCACAAGCAGTGTCCGCTGCTGCTCCAACTCCAAGAGGCTCTGGCTAGGGGAGGGCTGGGTTTTGAACTCTGCTTCATTCTCCTCTGCCACATGAGTCAATTCCTATAAACACAAGAGAAGAGAAAAAGTGAAGGAAGGGGCCAGAGCTGAGACAAAGTGGGTGGAGATGCCACCTGCGGATGCTAGAATTCCATTTGGGAGTCAGTTCAAGTCTCTGCTGCTCCACTTTCAACTCAGCTTCCTACTAATACGGCTGGGAAAGCAGTGGAGGATGGGTCATGCACCCAATGGGAAACCTGCAAGAAGCTCCTGGCTTCGGATCGATCCAGGTCTAGCCACTGTGGCTATTTGGGGTTGAGTCAGTGGATGAAGACCTCTTTCTCTGTAACTCTATCTTTTAAATAAACAAAAATAAACCTTAAAAGAGAGAGATCTCGTTCCGGATCAGCTCAGCTCCGGCCGCCGAGGCCATTTGGGGAGTGAACCAGGCAATGGAACATCTTTCTCTGTTTCTCTCCATAAATCTGCCTTTGCGATAAAATAAAATCTTTATTAAAAAATTAATAAATCTTTAAAAGGAAAGAGAAAGAAAGGAAGCAAAGAAAGAAAAAGTGAAAGAATACCCAGTACAACCAACAGCATCACAAACATAGCCAGAAAACAGTTTGAAATGCATATTTAAACAGTCTATATTTATGACAGCATTATTTATAATTGCTAAAAATTGAAGACAATCTAAAATGTCATGCAATAAGAGAATAAATAAATTTGGGGAGGTTGATTATGTCGCCACAGCTAAAACAAATGAGCTAGCTCTATGTGGATATCCAGAGACAGATCTCAGACGCTGTCCAGTGAAAAACTTGAGTTGTGAGACACTGTGTACAATACTCTATGAAATCTAAAGATACTGTAACACACACACCCACACACACACTCAGAACCAGCTCAGCCACTTCCTCCTGTAGCAGTCTCCACAGCCTGCAGCTCTAGCTGCCACCTGGCACTGCCCACTCCCGCCAGATTCCCACAGGTGACTCCAGCACCACAGCCCTTACCTGCTGCGATGCCCAGAACTGAACGGCCACTGCAAGGCCGTGCCTCAGGGCGGGCTTTGCTGGCTTCTCACCTATGCTTCAACACTGCACACTTCCTTGGGCAGAGAAAACCTTGAGCTCCCTCTCGATTCATGCTTCACCAAAGTAACTGGCAGCCCAGAGTCTAGGAATTCAACTGTATCTGAAACTCCTCATGGGTCTTTTACAATGTCCAGGGACATTTTTGGTTGTCATAATCGGGGGGAAACTCATGTATTTAGTGTGTTCATGTTTTTCTTGTAGCCTACAGGGCAGCCTCTCATAAGGACAAAACCCATCTGGCTTAAAATGTCAATAGCACTAAGTTGAGACCCAGTTTAGAGCCAAGCCCTTTAATTCATTTATATATTAAAAAAATTTTTAGAATATGTACTTATTCCCCCAGGAACAACAAGAAATGGCAAATTTGGAAGTAATGAGTTCACCCAATTTTCCCTATACCTTGACTGTTCCCACCCCCATCAACCATGTAATAACTACTTTTAAAAATAAAAATTTTTAAAAAGAGCATGTATTTATTGTAACTGAAAAGGTCTATTTATAGAGAGAAGGAGAGAGAGAGAAAGATCTTCTATCCACTGGCCCCCCGCAAAGGCCATGATGGCCGGAACTGAGCCAATCCAAAGGCAGGAGCTTCTTCCAGGTCTCCCACAAGGGTGCAAGGTTCCAAGGACTTGGGCCTTTCTTCATTGCTTTCCCAGGCCATAAGCAGAGAGCTGAATGGGAAGCGGAGCAGCTGGGACACGAATCAATGTCACACTTGGAGGTGGAGAAATAGCCAGTTGAGCCATTGTATTGGTCCCTAAAATTGCTTGATTTAAGGTATATGATGAAGCACACATTTGCCTGGAACAGTATTGGAATGAGTGACTGGACATGGCGGGTAGGGAGTGGGTGGCTGGATATGGGAAGCAAGAAAGCATCAAAAATGTGTCCCTGACTTCAAGCCGCAGAAATGCCACCCCTGACTTTCTCCTAGTGCTTGCCCACCTCCCTCCTCTACCACCAACCTTGAACTCCACAGTTATTCTCTTAAACACTTTCCTAGGCGGAGAGGAGGAGGTAGAGGCGCAAATCTCAGGTTCACGATATCAGACAGTGATTTCCTTACATGAGACAAGCTGCTACCAAAGATAAGGGCAAAAGGGGGTGAAGCCGCTGGCCTTGAGAGATAGAAAGGGTTTCAGGTGGCCAGAAAGCAGAGTGCAGGAGAAACAACTGCTAAGCCTCCTTTCCAAATATCTGACAGAACAACAGGCAGAGAGGATAAGGGATTACTCTAGAGCTGTAAAACCTGCTATTAACTTCAAAAGAGTTCTTAGTGTCAACGCGTAACAACGATTAACCCTTGCGCACACTGGTAATTCTGCTTTGTTCATCCCTAGAATGGCAATGTGGAGTCCCCGGGAGAGAAGTCAGGACACACTGGCTCCATGAAAGCCTCCTCTTGTTACCAACCCCAACATTACTCCCTTCCAAAAAAGAAACACCTTTATGCCCCTAATCATTTACCATAAATTGGAACCTGAATTTTAGAAGTTGAAGTTATGAATGCCTCGAAAATTCACAGGGTCCCCTGGGATTGCCTGTGGAAAGGATGGCAATGAACTCTGTAGTTCTCACCTGCAGACACAAGATGAAGAAGTCCCCTGCCAAACCACACTGCTGGCAGTGGGACAGCAGGTCGCTGAGATGCTCCACCTGGCTCTGCTCAGAGGTCACCTTCTGGAACAGGGCTTCATCCTCCTCTTCATCACTGCAAAGCAGGGCAGAGTTGTCTTGGCAGTGGCACCAACAGATCATATTTTTCTTGAAACCCCATAATAATCTTCAAAAGAAACATGTTACCTCATGTTCCAGTTAAACATTAGAATGATCTCCAAAAAAAATGTGTGTAATTTATTTTCCTATTTCCCCAAGCTGGAAAAAGTTGAATATTTACTTTCAAAATCTGGGAAATTCGGTCCTATATGGTCACTTGCTCCAAAAGGAAAAAGATTCATAAAGGAAGTGGCTTGAATATTACAAAATTATTAAAGAATTGCTATTATATCTTAAATAATGTTTTAATGTTTAATGTTTTGCTTATTTGAAAGGAAGAGAAAGAGAGAAACAGAGAGACCTCCTTTTGCTGGTTCATCCCCCAAATGCCTGGAACAGCTGGAGCAGCTCCAGGCTGGAACTCGGTCTGCGTCTCCCAGGTAGGTGGCACAGACAGCTCCTTGTGCCATCCCCTGCTGCCCTCAGCACTGCACATTTGCAGGAAGCTGGAGAGAGCAGGAAAGCCAGGACTCTGAGAGATGAAGATCTCTTCCATCTGCTAGTTCCCTACAACACACCCAAACTGACGTCAGGATCCAGGAGCTCCAGCCAGGTTTTCCACGTGTGTAACAAGAATCCAAGGATTTGAGCCATCATCTGCTGCTTCCCAAGGAATGCACTAGCAGGAAGCTGGATAGGAAGTAGATTTAGAACTCAAACCCAGGTATTCTGGTATGGAAATGTGGGCACCCCAAGCAGTATCTTATCTGCTAAAGCCAAATGCTTATCCTGAAAATTACAAATGTTGATATATGTGCACTAAGTATACTAGAGGAGCGAGCGCTATGGCTCAACAGGCTAATATTCCATCCTGCAATGCCAGGATCCCTTATGGGCACCAGTTCATGTCCTGGCTGCTCCACTTCCCATCCAGTTCCCTGCTTATGACCTGGGAAAGCAGTAGAGGATGGCTGAAAGCCTTGGGATCCTGAACCCGCGAGGGAGTCCTGGAAGAGGCTCCTGGCTCCTGGGTTCAGATCAGCTCATTTCTGGCTTCTGTGGACATTTGAGGAGTAAGACCTTACCTCTCTATCTCTTCTTCTCTCTGTAAATCTGCTTTTCAAATAAAAATAAGTAGTTTTAAAAAATAAAAGTACTAGACTATAGACTACTAAATTGAACTCAAACTTCCCCTAAATTAGTCCCAAATAAAAACTGCTTCTCAATGTTTTTAAAATAAACAGGAAAAAAATTTTAATTCTTCCCATCTACATGCATAGCTACAACCAGAACTTACTAATGCTTGATAGATTTAAAAAGATTTATCTATTTTTAAAGATAGAGTTACAGAGAAAAAAGGAGAGACAAAGGAGAGATCTTCCATTCACTGGTTCACTCTCCAAAGGGTTACAAAGGTTGGAGCTGGGCCAGTACAAAGCCAGGATATTGGAACTTCCTCTAGGTCTCCCATTTGGGTGCAAGAGCCCAAGTACTTGGGATATCCATGGCCACTCTCCCAGGTCCATCAGCAAGACTCTGGATCAGAAACGGAGCAACCAGGACTCAAATCAGGGCCACAGGCAGGGGCTTAGCTTGCTATACCATAGTGTCAGCTTTGGTGCTTGGTAATTTTACGTAAACTAGTAACTGGAGTTTGTCTTGAAAATTCTGCGTGTAACCTACATGTTTTCCTATTTTCTTCAAGCTCATCATATTGAATGAGTATTCTAAAATGTTACCAAGTTAGCCAAGAATACAAAACTAAATTGAAATACTTCAATAACCACAAGCATTCTGAATGTGATATGAAATCTAAATGGGGTGGTTACCACCACTTAAATCTACATGTGTTCTAATGAACAGAAACTCACATTGTGAGATAATTACCTCATAAACAGATCATCTAGAGGGTGGAAAGAATTTAAAATACACACATTTTAAAGACACTGGAGAAATAAATGACACATTCTACGAATAGGAATCGGGCGTTTCTAACCAACCTCTAAGAGCAACGAAGCCTTATAAAACTGCCACAGAAGACACTCATCAGGGTGGGTGTGTGGCCCAGCAGGGTACACTCTGCCATGCAAGGTGCCCACGTCCCACTGTGGAGTGTCGGTTCACGTCCTGGCTGCTCTGTGTCTGAATCAGCTTCCCGCTGGTGCACACCTGGGAGCTGGCCGGGCAGGGCTCAAGTGCTTTCAGTTGCCTGCCACCTGCTTAGGAGACCCGAATTGAGTTCCAGGCTCCAAGCTTCAGCCTGGCCCAACCCTTGCTGTTGCAGCCACTTGGGAGAATGAACCACCAGATGGAATATCTATTTTTGTCTCCATCATTCCCTTTCTCTGTCACTTGGCCTGTCAAGCAAATAAAAAATAAATCTCAAAAATAAAAATAAAGATGGCCATGAGACAGTGTCCCTTAGGAATATGTCTGACTGTGAACACACACATGGATTATTCTGGGAGTCAGATAGAATAGAATTACTATGGTGTTAAGATTGAACATGTGCCACCCTTTACTATGATTCACTGGCAAAATGTTTAGTGAAGGAAGTGAGTTTTTTGTCGCACAGAATTACAAGGCTCCAGTAAACTGCACCTACCGTTAGCCTCATATCAGGGTGGGGAGAAGCCTGGAGGATTATTTAAGGCTCACATTTCATGTACAGACTATAAATAGCGGGAACATCAGGACTCTGTAGTTCTGGTTTCTTTTCTCTCAGCGCCCCTTAGTGGCTCACAAAGGCCTTTCAGGTAGAACAAAATCTGGAGAGAGGCAGAAAAAATTCTGGACTCACCTAAGTGTCTCCTTGATGATAACCATGATGCCACCTTGCGTGGCAGCACGAAACTGACACAGAGGGTGCAGTGAGGGCGCAGCCTTGTCCAGTCCTGCAAACCCTTTCAGGCTGGCAACCGCCTTCTTCCTTTCCAGCTTCCCCAGAATCCATAATAAGATCTCTTGGCAGAGTGATCTGGCAGGAAAAGCAGTTACAAACGAGCTTGTCAGCCGAACTCTGTGCACAGAACAAGCTAACAGAGAAGGAAAGACGGACAGGGCCCACTGCGCTCCAGACGCTGGCGTCATTATCTAGTACGAGTGGACGACATGTTCCCTGTGAATTTCAGAATGTCAATACGTCAACATTCAATGAGACACTTGGCTCTAGAACCCACACACTCCATATGAGCCCCAAAGGTTTGGATTTTTAAATTCCAAATGTACCACTGCCTTTGGATCATGCACTGTATAAGAAAGCTTATACTTACATGAAAATCATCCAATACCAGTGGGACTAAGAGACAGCACACCAACAAAGACCTTTCAACTCCTTATCCTTTCTCTGTCCCCATCAACTACAGAGGAAGAGAATAAACATGGCATCTGTTTTCCACCGCCTGGTGAGAATCAGAGTGTGCCAGCAGGATCCAGGGTTTAAAACAGGAGTCATTACGTGGATGATCTACCGGAACCAGACTGAGGCTCACCAGGGGAGGCGCCGGACACCTGAGAGCACCTTTAATCTCCGTAATGACCCCACGAAGAAGTTACTGTTCACTTCTGGTGGGTGACCTGGGGCCGTTCCCAAATATCAGTACTCAGAATTCTGCAGGACTTCACCATGTTCAAACGACTACAAAGATGACTATGAAAATTAAGCTGGCACAAAGGAGTCCTGCTCAGATTCTCATACACAAAGAATATTTCCTGGAAGACTAAGAAAGCCCATCTACGTAAACAACCCCCACCTCAGTACCGCCAGATTCCAGGCTAAACTACAGCGTGCCTCCTGCACATCTGACTCTCAGAATGTGCTCTCCACACCCTGCTTCCCCCTTCCTAGATACGCACCTGCAGCCTTCCTCACTGATCACACAGGGGCACACAGACAGCATCCGCAACTCGCTCTCCCTCTTCTAGCTGAGTAAGGAGAGCCCCTATGCCTTGCTCACATTGAAAGGAAATAACAGGGAGGCACAAGCTGAGACCCCACTGCTCAACACCAAGTAAGATCTGACTTCTCAGACAAGCAGGTTCTCTCCATCACTCACCTTATGTGGGACACGCCCTGCTTGGTGAAACAGTAGATGCAAAAGAGCACTCCCAGGACCTGCAACAGGCAGTCCAGCAGCACCGCCAGCGGCTCATTTCCGACCACGTACACCTAGGGGCAAGGACACAGTGAGATGGACAACCACACACCTGGCAGCATGCAGGGTCTTCCTCGGCAACTCTTGCATCCTCAGATGCACAATTTTAGCTTCAAGGTTGTGCTCAGATATGGCAGCAAAACCATCTGAGACTGGCAGCTGGGTAGGAACCCAAAGATGGAACCAGGGCACCCTTGCAGGTATGCAGCCCACGAGTGGGTAAAGAAACTCATTTTCTCATCTACTTTGGCTACCACTGGGTCTTCTCATACACTTACTATTCATGTATATAATAACTGTCCCACTGCACAAAGCCCTGCTATTAAGAACTAACAACTAGGGCCCAACGCGATAGTGTGGCAGTTAAAGTTCTCACCTTGAACATGCACCGGGATCCCATATGGACGCCAGTTCTAACCCTGGTGGCCCCGCTTCCCATCTAGCTCCCTGACTGTGGCCTGGGAAAGCAGTCAAGGACAGCCCAAGTCCTTGGGACCCTGCACCCGCGTGGGAGACCAGGAGGAGCTCCTGGCTCCTGGCTTCAGATTGGCTCAGCTCCGGCCGTTGCGGTCACTTGGGGAGTGAGCCATCAGAGGGAAGATCTTCCTCTCTGTCTCTCCTCCTCTATGTATATCCGCCTTTCCAAATAAATTTTTTTTTACAGATTTATTTATTCATTTGAAAGTTAGGAGTTACACAGAAAGGAGAGAGAAAGAAACTTTCATCCACTGATTCACTCTCCAAATGCCCGCAGGGGGCTGAGTCAGGTGGAAGCCAGGAGCCAGGAGTTTCATCTGGGTCTTCCACAGAGCTACAGGCACCCAGGAACGTGAGCCATGCTCTCCTGATTTTGGGGGGACCGTTAGTAGAGAACTATCAGAAGTGGAACAGCCAAGTCACAAATCAAAATCCATATGGGATGCTGGGACTTGAACCAGGGGCTTTACTTGCTACTCCTCAACATAAACCCCCAATTTTTAAATTTACATATTATTTGAAAGACAAATATGGATCTCCCATTCACTGGCTCACTCCCCAAATTCCAACCAACCAGGGCTGGGCAGCCAAAGCCAGATGGCTGAAACTCAATCTATATCTTCTGTGTGAAAGGCAGGAACCCAGAAACTGAGCCATTGTGCTGCCCCACAGGGTGTGCATCAACAGGAAGCCGGAACTAGAAGCAGAGCCAATACTGGATGCAGGCACTCCAGGACGGGATCCAAGCACCCTAAGCAGTGTCTAAACGGCTATGCTGAAGACCTGTCCCTAGATTGGCCTCTTGTCACCTATGACCACCACACAAGCATGCCCTCTTTGCTGCAACTCACTAACATTATGACGCACATGTGGCTCTGTACTGGTTCCACATGGTTAAATGTGTAAGCATGCTCATTTTGGTGAACATATTTAGGTTGTACCTTGCAATAAAGCTAGTCCAAATGCATTCAACAAGCATTTGGGTAGTAAACCAGAGGATGGAAGATTTTTCTCTTTCTTCTTCTCTAAGTAAATCTGATCTGCCTTTGCAATTTAAAATAAACCTTTTTTAAAAATGTTATTTATCATTTTTTTATTAGAAGGATTTACAGAGAGCAAAGATTCTCCAATCACTGGTTCACTCCCCAAATGGCCACAATGGTCGGAGCTGAGCTGATCCCTAGCCAAGAGCCAGGAGCCTCGTCTGGGTTTCCCACATGGATGAAGGGTCCCAAGCCTTTGGGCTGTAAGACACTGCTTTCCCAGGCCACAAGCGGGGAGCTGAATGGGGTGCAGAGCAGCTGAGACACAAACTGGTACCCAGAAAGGATTCTAGCAGTGCAAGATAGAGGATTATCCAATTGAGCCATTGTGCTGGGCTCCAATTCAACACACTTTTATTAGGTTCAGATCAATATCACAGGCACTGAAATACAAAAATAAATTGAGACATTAACTCTCAGACTGCCTCTGACAAAGAGTAAAACAAGAATAAAACAAATAAATCAATTCTAAGAATAGCTCAAGGAGGACAAAGTATTTACAGACATATAAAATGTTATTCAGAAATCCAGACACAATAAGGTTTCAAAGTATGATCCTGTTACAGTAAACTGATGAAAGTCTGATAGCACAGATCATGATAATGATGAGAAAAGAGAATCCACAAGAGGCCCTGATCTACAAAGTAGAAAGGCCAGAATTAATGCTGTTGGAGGGGAACTGAAGGTCGCAGAGGTGCCTTCCCAGGCTGGGAAACGCTTTGTGCTCTTCCCGCAAGCCCTGTCTCTTTAAATCAACCCCAACTCCCCCACCCACCGAGCCTCCCGACTCCTCTGTGGAGCCTGATAACCAAGACAGCTTCCTGTGCATGATCTAATCTCCGAAAGCTAAATGAAGTGCCTTCCTCGGTGGCTGGCGAGAGGCCGGATTATGAGTTCACCAATTACAGGAGGCAGCCGCAGAGATGCCCCCAGATTGCAGGCCGGCCTATTGTTCGGATCCTGCATTCCTAGAGGCAATCCCTGTGCAGCGATCCTTCCTCCAGCATCTTTTGTATGAGTACAAGCAAAACAACAACAAAGCCTGGTGGATCCCGGGCAAAAGCTTACAACTTGGAGATGAACTCAATCAAGCACATTTCTCAGGGTTGCAAGGCGGTGTAGGTAAATTTCTATGACTTTCAAATCTCCCTTTTTCCCCCTACAAGTTCCTATAGATACATTTTTAAACAGGAACAAGTACTGCTTTTAGATTTAGGGGGAAAAAGCATAGTAATCTGGGCATATGCATGACTTGGTTTTAGAGGAGGCTCCCCACATGGGTACGGAGTGCCACTTACAGTGGGGAACAAGACATCTGCTTCACAAGAGCCTACACTGCAGTGGGGAAGACAGCCAGTGAACAATCACGTGTGACAGGTGGTGCCAAGGGCTCCAACAGAGGACAAGGCAGACTGAAGGGGGCGTAAAGAAGGGTGGAGTACGCAGAAGAGCAAGAAAAATTAATAGCCCCTGTCAATTCTTCAGCAAGTCCACCAACAGGAGTGCAGAAATGGTTGTTTTTGAAAGATTTCTTTTTATCAGAAAGGTAGATTTGCAGTGAGAGAGACAGAGAAAGATCTTCTGTCCTCCGGCTCACTCCCCAAGTGGCTTTAACAGCCAGAGCTGAGCAGATCTGGAGCCAGGTGGTTCTTCTGAGTCTCTCACGAGGGTGCAGATCCCAAGGCTTTGAACCATTCTCTACTGCTTTCCTAGGTCACAAGCAGGGAGCTGGATGGGAAGTGGAGCAACCAGGACATGAACCAGCGTACATATGGGATCCCGGCAGATACAAGGCAAGGATTTAGCCACTAAGCTAAGTGGTATTTTTCTTAAAGATGAGATTTATAAATGACATCTCCTTTTGGCTTGATCTCACACTTAGATTTTTTTTTTTTTTTAAGAATATCACAAAGAATTTCCTCTTTCTTGGCAGACACATGACGGGCATCTCCCAACACCAAGGGACAGTTCCTCCTTGGTGGACGTCTAAGCCCACATCCACCACCCATGACATTTCCTTGAAGTGTATCTGGTTTTCAAATTCTGAACTGTTCACCTAAAAATAACCAGGATTCAATTTCTTCTGTTTGCCTTGGAGGGTACATGCATGCTCCTATGCAGATCAGACAAGCAATGGCACCTGCAAAACTGGCCCACCCAGGCCCCTCCTCTGCCAGGAGCCTCGTAAGATTCTATTAATTGTCCATTCACGCATCCACTCCCTCACTTGCTAACTCAAAGATGTATTAAACAAGTAACCATCATGAAATGATTTTTTTTCCCCCTTTGTAAATTCCAATCGCTCTTCAGACCCTGCAATACATAATCTACTCATATGGTTCTCTCTCAACTTCTCACACAGCCCAGAAGGCAAAAGTCAAATTGCCTACCTCAGCGCTATGAGAGCAGTTTACTGAAGATGAGTGTCACTGAGGTCCTTCGTGAACAAGCAGTTTAAACAGGGTAGTGTATAGTTTAAAGGGCCTCCACTGTTACTGCCATTTATCAAGCACACAATAGCCACTTTGTATTGAATGTCAATTCAAGAATAAACCAGCTTATCACATAGCATACAATCAACTCTCAAGAGTCCTCGGGGTGGGCGCCATGGTGCACATTAAGCCTCTGCTTGCGGTCCCAGTATCCCCAATGGGCATCACTTTGAGCCCTGGCTATGCAAGATCCAGCTCCCTGGGCCCGGCTTGGCAGTCTACTGGCTGAAGTCCTCACTTTGCATGCTTAGGATTCCATATAGGTGCTGGCTCATGTCCCAGCGACTCCACTTCTCATCTAGCTCCTTGCTTGTAGCATGGGAAAGCAGTAGAGGATGGCCCAAAGCCTTGGACCTGTGTGGGAGACCCCGAGGAACCTCCTAGCTCCTGGCTCCTGGCTTCGGATTGGCTCAGACGCTACAGCCACTGTGGGAGTGAATCATCAGAAGGAAGATCATCTTGTCTCTCTTCCTCCTCTTCTCTGTGTATCTGACTTTCCAATAAAATAAACTTAAAAAAAAAAAAAAAGGCCCAGCTCCCTACTACTATGCCTGGGAAAGCAGCAGCAAATGGCCAAGTCCTTGGGTCCCTGTAACCATGAGGGAGACCTACATCAAGTGTCCAGCTCCTCGTATCAGCATGGTCAACCCCAGCTGTTACAGATGTTTAGGGTATGAATCAGCAGATGGGAAAATATCCCTTTTACATGCTTTCCTCTATCTTTCAAATAAATTTTTCTTAAGGTGAAGGCTGGCATTGTAGTGCAGCAACTTCAGTCACCTGAGCTATCAGCACCTACTAGGAGCAGCAGTTGCAGTTCCAGCTGGTCAGCTTTCACTCCAGCTCTCTGCTAAAGTGGCAAGAGGGGAAGACGACCCAAGTGTCTGAGCCTCAGCCACCCAAGTGGGAGACTCAGATGGAGTTCCTGGCTCCTGGATTTGACCTGACCCAACATGGCAGCTGCCTGGGGAGTGAACCAGCAGATGGAATACCTGTTTTTTC